TGCCGGCTGGGGTTAAACCACGACACCCTTCGCTAAGGCTCCACCCTGGGAGTACGCCACCAGAAAAAGTCAGAGTGAAGTTGGGTCCTTACTCTTCTTCTCATGCTTGTGGTGCAGCGTCTCCGCCTTCATACTGTAGTCCAGTTTCATCAGGACAGGCTCCAAACGCGTGTACATCCTCTGGATCAGCTCGTGGTAGACCACCAGAGGCCAAAGCAGAATGCTGAGCACTGCGAACACAGGATGCGGGGAGTGTGAGAGACAGACCAAGCACAACCCAGCCCTTTACGGGTGCCAGCAAGAAACTCTGCATCAAGGGAAGCGCAGTTGAATGGCTTTCCCATCTGACTCTGCCTAAAATCCTCATCCATGGCCATTCTTACTCATTCCAAAGCTGCTTGATTAACCAGGTTTTCCTAACAGATCTCTGTTAGGATACAGATTTATGTTAAGATGAAGCGTCAGCCCTCCTCTTCAGCCATTGCATCCCAGACCCAACATGCAATACAGGCCCTGAAATGAGGTTGTTAAAACTAAAAATCACCCAAACTTTTATAAGGGTAGCAGCATAGAGGTCATATGTAGATGTGCTAGCAGCAGACCACCTGAACAGTCTTCAGAGTTAGCAGGGACTCACGATGCAATTAGAAAGGTCTTATTTGCTAAACATGCAGCTTCTTTAACAACTCTCTCGGTATGGATTTGCCCACTCTAGGAACTGAGAGACTGCAGGTTTCTGCTTCTCTGGGACCTCATCAGCCCAGCCCCAGCCGTGGGGAGAAGAGGAAAGCAATGTTTTAGCGACAGCTCCCTCTCCTGACTTTGCAGTTGTACTGCATGCATGCAGTTAAAGCAAGAGACTTCCCAGAGCACATTACCTGTTTTGATTAATAATCTAGCACAGATCCCCTCAAGAAAACCACAAATATGCTTCTACCAGCGTATCAATAGCACAGTTAGGTCATGTTTCAGCTTAAGTCAGACAAGAGAGCTGCTTATACTCACAAATGATGTAGGAGATCATTATGCCTGGAACATAGTGTCCAACTACAGCCAGAATCAGGCAGCCTGAACAGACACTCATGCAGAACTGAAGGAAGAGAGAGGAACAAACAGAAGTGACAAGAGGCAGAGATACATCTATGCAACCAGTGCAGGAAACCCAGTTAGAGCAAAATGAGGGATGCTCCTAACAAAGTCAGTACACCAGCTTTGCACTGAATACATTCAGATGCTGACAATCACAACTCAGACAGCTTGGTTGGGTTAAGCTGTAAGCATTAGAGGTTCAAGCGCAGGAAGACCAAGGTAACCCAAGACCCCAGTAAAATGAATCGAAACTTTATTGGACAGTTCTTTATGAAGTAAAGGATGTTTTCTGAGGCTAGGATGGGATATTGCAAATTGGCATTTTAGAGTACATCTCCCCGGCAGAGCTCAGGACTTTAAGAGAAGTCCGTACTGTCCTGACAGAGGCAGGAAGCTGTTACAGAGTCACCAGATGCTGTGCCACTGCTACGCAATAAACCAGCTGGCAGAAGCATTAGCAGAACCCACGCTCCCACCAGACCAGGACCTTCTTCTTCTGGAAGAAGTGGAAGTATAATGGTGCAGCCCTGAGGGCTTGTCCTGCCTTCTCCTGGGGAGGTAGAGAAGTGAGAACAGACACCCTGCAAGCCAAAGCATGGGTTCAAATATGGACTAAAACCAGCAACGAAGAGTTTCATTCATAATGGAAAGGGTCTTCAAAAGCTAGGGCTCTCCAAGGGCTTTGCTCCCCATGAATTCACGCTTTATGGGCATCTTGGTCCTGGTCCCCTACTCCCTGTAGCTGGGACAGTGTTTTAACAGAAGAGGAGTAATCAGCAGTGATAGAAATCCACTCCTTTCGGCGCATTGGACCCCAGCAAGCCTGATACAATCCTACTGGCTGGTCTGTCCTACTTTTTGTGATGTTGAGGAAAGTCCTGTCTACAAACCCTTTCCAAAAAACCACACATCACCGCCATCAGAACGTGGTTTATGACAAGTTTCCATGCACCCAGAAACACCGCTGCATTTGGACTCGACTAGCTACAATCTTTGCCAGCTTAAAGGGTTGAATGGAGCTCGTGAGAGGGGCAGAGACTGTAGGCTTCTCTTTTTTCTTCCCACTCCCAATCTAAGAGCTTCCTTTGCACACTAAGAAATAAAACTAAGTATAGCTAGCCATTCACAGAAGGGGTTAAGTTTAGCTCCAGTTTACAAATACTGGAAGCAAATTATTCATTATTTAAGCTTCCCATGGCACAAAGTCTGAAAGGAATGGACAGCAAATGTTAAACAGGGATAGCAAATGTAAAAATATTGATTTGACATTATTCCATCTCCTAGGCCACTATGGAAAGAAAAGCCCCTGCACAGAAGAGTAGGTATCTCCAGCTTACCTTGGCAGGATTTTGCCTCTTGTACTGTAGCAGTTCCTGCAGGTACAGCCTGAAGGTGACCCAGCTCTCTGCCAGACAGTGGCACAGCTCAGGGACACTGAGCAGGTGAGGTTGTGCCCCTGAAGTCACCCCCTCACTAGAGACAGACAAGAGCAAGAAGACAATCTTTGAACATGGTCTGTTTTGTTGGGGGTGGGGAACAGCTGCACAGGGAAGCGGAGATCCCTACCAAAGGCTTCACAATACTGACTGCATCTTCAGCTGAACTATGGAAGACGCTTGATTTGGAGATGCTTTTTTCCTTTAATCAGAAGAGCCAAGAGACACCCGAGCCAAGCAGCAGCAGCAGACACCATGCCACAGCATCCCCATGCCACAGGCCCAAGATGCAAAGCAGTTTACTCAAAGCCACGCAGACAGAAGTGCTGGAGGTGCAACCTGTCACGTGGTCTCCTCTGGCACCATGTCTGAGGTAGCCAGAACATGGTGCTCAGACCTATAACCATGGCCAAGCACGGGATGCAAGCTATGCCACCACAGACAGCACGTATGGCCTGCAAAAGTCAGTCTCAGGGATTTCCTTCTCTCTGGAGGATTCTTAAAATAGTCCAGGGTAGATCCAGGGAAGAAACTCGAGAGTTCCTAACATCAGAAGCACTTGAGCTTTATTGCTACTGAAAGAACATTAGCTTTCCCCAGAGTCTCAAACTGTGGCTCCTGAGCTGATAAGCAGCTCCCAGTGCAGGAGAAACCGCTACCAACGTTTCACAGTAGGAGCCATGCAGTCTATCGACAACAGCAAAAAGGGCAGGTGAGATCACCATGCTAAATTAAGGCTTGCCCACTCTCCCCTCTCACCAAGGAACGTATCAGTGAGCTTACCTCTCCCCTCCCGGCTCCTCCGATGGCTGTGCTGTAGAGAGAACACAGCAGATTAGTCAGCCAAGTGAAAAATACAACCTGACATTTTTAACACTTGAACAGAGCAGAGCTGGAGATGTATCATCCTTAGCTAGGGACGCATCCTAGGGACCTTCTTCGTGCTCTCACGCAAGCAGGAATCACTGGCTTGGAGTTTGAGCTGTGCAGGCTTCAATGAAGCATGCCTGGAGACTCGGAGCAGCCAGAGCACTGGTCTCAGGGTGCCCCACCACACCTTGCAACCTGTGTTGACAAACACGTGGCACGACACTCGTATCCGAGGTGCACCCGCCGCTAGCACGTGGGCTCTCTGCTGCAGGGATTGTACAGCTTGCCCTGGCGTCCCACGCGTCCAGGCAGTGCCATCCCCAGGGCAGCTGCGTAGCCCTTGTCATTCACAGAGGGCTGCCAGCATGGTCCCCAAGCTGGGCAAAGCTTCAGCTCCCACCTCAGAGCTCAGCATGGCACTAGCAGGTCTGAGCTGCATTTCCCACTGACCAGCCCAGACCACAGTCCCTGGCAGGATGCTGTGTACAAATGCCAGAGATCTCCCTGCTGTCTCTATCCTTTCCCACGGAATTAAGTAACAAATAGCAGTCTTGTGTATAATTATCTAATTTTAGGGCTCTTTTATGTCCCCTGACAGCCCTTTGTGCCAGGCACAGATATAACTACACTCCTAAGGTTTGGCAGTCTGGATAAGAGCAAGGGAAAGCTTCTCCCACTCCTCCCTGCACCCAGCCCAGTGACGATCAAACAGGGACTCACTCCATGCAGTACTGAAGGGAGGAGCGGTGTTTCAGTGGCAGAGGTCACATATGATTATGCTCTGCCTTTAGATACATAGAGAAAAACAAACCCAAATATTTCTGTGACAACTGGAACTCATGAGCCTGGCTGCCCATGGATTTGGGTGTCCTGGCTACCTGACTAGTGTCTGGGGATGTAAAGGGCTCAACAAAAGCTCTTGCAGCAACAGAGTCTTTATAAGTCTCCTGTGTTTAACATGCCCTGGTCATGCTGTAAATGCCCCCTGAGGTCTATCCTCCTCTACCTGTCAGCCTAATGTCCTAAAGCTGCTAGGGACAGATACATCTTTGATGCTGTCTGGCCGACAGCAAACTTGGTTCAGGCTGTCCAAGAGGTTCTAAAAATCAGTGGGAATCTATCCCCCACATTGCATGTCACCACAAAACCAGGACTAAAATAAAGGTAGGGAGTTTATGTTCAAAGTCCAGGCTACTTGTTGGAAACAGGCTTAAAAATGCAAGATGAACAAAAAGGGGTTTGAATCCTCCCTGGAGTCATCAGCCAGATGCAAAGCCCAAGACCGGCAACGACTCCCTCAGGGAAACGCACAGAAGAGGTGAACATCCATCACTGCCAACACCCAGTGAGATTTCAGACTCCAGTTCAAGCCACAAAAGAGAGCCACTGGAACAAAAGAGGCCTTGGAACAGGCTGCCCAGGGAAGTGGTTGAGTCACCATCCCTGGAAGTATTTAAAAGACGTGTAGATGAGACGCTTAGGGACATGGTTTAGTGGGCATGGTGGTGTTGGGTTGACGGTTGGACTCGATGATCTTAGAGGTCTTTTCCAACCTTAATGATTCTATGATTCTATTCTATGATTCACTGCTTACAGCAGGCTTGCCACTGTTCTCCCAAGACACAGGACATTGGGCCAAGTATGGCAGACTCTCCTACCGCTGCAGGCACTGCATCAGCCGGCTCGCACAGTGTAGTGGAGCAGGAGGCCATCCGCCCGGGGAGGAGGCGATTCTTTGAGAGCGTGACCCAGATTTCCAGTAATTGAGCCTGACAAGAGAAGTCAACTGCTCTCAGAGTGGGCTGCCCATCCGCTCCTCTGCTCACAACTGTTCGGCATGGCGGCTGGGGCAGCTGGCAAGCACTGCTCACAAAGGGACCTTGGGGTGCGAAGTGAATGTTATGGATGCAGCTTCACCCCCACGGTGCAGTTGCTTCTCTCGCACAACTGCCGTTGCTGTAGTTTGTTATTGTGGTCAGGAATCTAAAGCTGCTTAAGCACAGCACGCAGAAATCCAGCTATATCTCAAAGCCTCATCTATTACCTGCACTAAATCTCCAAATAAATTACATTTGGCACTGGCCCGTCTGTGACAGCTGGCTATACTGGTTGTACCAGCTACGAAACGAGGTGCTGGGATGCTCACCGTACTCTGCTGGACAGATGTGCCAGCAACACAGTAAGCGGGATGGCACAGGAATCCCACTCCTCTCTGACTGGCTGCAGTAATCCAAGCCATCCAAAATATGCCAGCAGAGGGAGTGAAGCAATTCTCCTCAGTTGCTTCTGAAGGTTTCAGAGACACTTTGGGGAGCTGCAGAACATTTCAGCAGGCTGCAGTGTTCACGTGATTTCAACTATCTAGCAAAACACAAGCTGTCTTTAAAATCAACAGTACCTTGCTTCCTGTAGTAGAGTAGTCTGCCTGCTGTCCATCCCAAAGCACTGGAGTCTTACACCAGTTGGAGGAACAGCCCAACCACATAAAACCTAGAGCATTTCTGACAGGATACATTCACTTAGGCAAGGCTTAACTCCAACCTGTGCTGCAATACTGTCTAGCACTGGTACAACTAAACCAGCAAGCAGGACACCCACAGCTGGCCTCAGATCATCAATAACCAGCTGAAATCTTGCTGTCAGCATTTCACACTGGATTGTGGGTTAATACAAACCACTTGACATACACCAGACTCTTCTGGGAGACCATTCAGCCACGCAAGAGTTTAGGTTACACATTGGCACTGACAAATTATCGCTGATAGATTCCTTGGCTCTTGCAGGTTTTCAACGCTTCCCCAAGAGGCATTCTTCATCTGCGTGTAAACTTCAGCTAGAAATCAGGGGCCCTTTTTAAGGAGTGCCAGCATTCAGCTGCAATGCAGGTTTTGCTAAAGCTCTTCCACACTACACTCCCCGACACTGACCAGAACACAGCTGCCAAACAATGGTAGAGAAACCATCCCTAATTGATACCGATTTCAGGAGAAAGTGGAGGTGCTTCCTAAGTCCTTAAACAATATTTAAGTGGAACCCCACATAGAGGTGGTTACATATGGAAAAAATACCCTGTGTGGGAGCTGAATGTATGCAGTCCCTTCTGACAGGACCTAGAAAGGTTGTGCATCTCGCTGCTGTCAGCGCGTCCCTGATCACAGTGTGTGAGTAACTGCAAAATACATGCTGAGGTTTTAGCATTCCTTCAGAAGTGATGTTATAAGCAGTCACCCGAGACATACAGAACTGCCACAAGCTGAGGTTTGTGTATATACGTGCCGATTCTTGAAGGTGTGGTACTGACCTACTTCCAAAATCTCCAGGAAAGGCTTACAGGAAGCACTGAGGAGGAAAGCCACAAAGCTGCAGCTCTGCTTCAGCGGGAAGCAAGACCCACACAAGAACCCCTAAGTATTCAGCAGTGCCAGTTCAACAGGAGGCCCCTCAGGAATGCAGAGCACCGCTCCTTCCTTGTGGAGGCTGAGGAGACACAGTCCAGTGGACCATGTCGAAATCAGGGCTGTGACCTAACCAGGCGCATCAGAAAGGCGTTCCTGTTCTTTGCTGTCAGCAGTGGAAAAGCAGCAAGGGATGAAATATGGGGAAGAACACCACTGAGGAGCGGCTCAGGAGGATGTGCGCTGACTTCTTGAGGAGCTGTAGTAGAGGGATTAGCCTAACCCCTGGTGAATTGTTTTGTTTTCTGTTTTGTTTTTTTTTTTTTAATTCCTCACTCCTCTGCATCATATAAATTGATTTCAGTATGTATTTCCTATTTCTTCTGTGATAACAAAACTTTTACAGGCCTGGTACTTGCTGGAGCTATTCTACCCCCATGCGTCCAATACACGCGTCAATGACACCATTCTGCATTGGACACCAGGCTTTTGCATTTCTGGACATGTTTCAAGTAAGATATTTTGGGTTGGCTTTAAACTATTCCCTTAAAAAACCAATGCGAATAAGCAGGAAATTAAATTGGCCAGTCCAGTTTGGCTGCCTAGTTACCTGAACCACACAAAGCAAACAGTTTCAAGACTACAGCTGAAACATATCTAATCTTATCAGGACTTCTGTGAAAGCACCCTTTAAGTCAGTACCCTTTTAGGTCAAATAAAGGGCACCTTACAAACACACATATAGAGGGGCTTTCATTCAGAAAGCCTCCCTAGAGTAGGGAGGCAGGGATGGAGGGCCCCGAGCTGCCTTTGAACAGGAGCAGTAGATGCAGTAGGCAGGTCTGGGTCCAGTCATTTAACAAACTCCAGCGAAGGAGGCACTCAAAGCAGACAGCAGCCAATCCACGCCTATCATCATTATGAGGCTATTCCTCTTGCTGCTTTTGTGTCTAATGTTGGCAAAGACCCTTGAATAAATGGGAAAGATAAGCCAAGTGATCAGACTCACCGATTAGCTGGAGACCAGATGCTGTTCAGTACAGGTACAATACACTAACTGTCCCTGCTGTCAGACCTTATCATCCACCCTGCTACCTGCCGCAAGGAGAAGTGGCTCTCATCTGCTCTGCCTCTTTCAGGGCATAAGCCCACGCTGCACCTAGCCAAAACCAATATGCTTCCATCCCCCCGCTTCCTTCCCCCAGCTCAGCTGGCCATATATGCTCAGACCTGGAATGATCTTTTCGCCACAACATTGGCAGGAGAGAAAGGACACAGCAGAAACACTGCATCACCCCTGTCATCAGGTTCCCCAACAAGCTAGCTGGGCCCCCTTAGTCACTCTCAAAATGAGCTACCCCCAGAACTTCTCGGCACTGGGAGCAATTATCCCCATGCCCAGAGTATTAGGATGCATCCTAATACTCTGACACAAATAGGCAAGAGGCAGCACCAGTACCAAGCCTGCAGTAGAAACAGGGCTTACATGACCTATGAAAGAGCCAGGAAAGGACTGGCTGTGGCCATAGCCCAGCAGCTGGTAACACTAGAACTGTGTCACTAGCTACAGCACTACTCATCACATACCTGAGAAATCAAACAGGAACCTGGGCTTCCACCTCTCCAGCAAGAGGATGCCAAGAAGGGACATGCTGAGGAGAAAGAGGGGTCTCAGGGAGGTGGAGGAAAACAACCTAGAAATCAAACCAGAAATTGTTAGGCAGGAAAAAGGCAGCAAATTACTGCTCTTGATGAGCAAACAGATATGGCTCAGTGTACAGCAGAGCAGAAACATCCCACTGCTACTGGCCACCACAGCAAGCATTGTACTCCACAGACACCCACCCCCGCCACAGCATGTTCTCAAATGGCGCCTTTGCCCACCACCAGACAGCTGACTACCTGCCATCTCCCAGCACTCTCCCCCCCTGCTCCTGAGCTCCTCCTTCAGTTGTAAAACAAGGCTAATGCTCCCTTGTACAAGTCCCTCTGAATCCTCAAGGTGGAGGTTCTAGATAACGTAAATACAGATTGCTGTAGCAAAAGACTATTTAAGAATCAGCCTGTTTGCTGAAAAATTACGTCCTATTTGTCATCACAAGGTCCAGCATCATCCGCAGGTAGCACCAAAACACATTCTACACCTGCTTCTAGATGCCCATTCTTCTATCACAAACCTCTCCCCATTTAATCAGAGCCTAGCACTTAAATGGTTTAGTTGCTCGCTTGACTATCGTAAAACCTTTCATGTCCGTCAACAACACATTGGCTTGAGCCAAACACCAGCTCACACAATACTACTCACACATAGACGCGCAATCCCACCATCAAAGAGTTTATCTCCCCACTCCATATAGATTCAACAGCAAAGGTCCCAGTGTGGTGCTTGTGCCAGCAGTGCTGTCTGCATTCCTCCCTTCCTCCAAACAAGAGCATCAGCACTTCCCTCCAGCTCAGAGGAGCTCTTTTTAAGTCTCTCCAGAAACAACTGCCGGGAAAATGCATTCACCCTCTCCCCTTTAATGAAAACTCCCTTCCAGAAAGGAAGAGCCACTCCGCTATTTCACTTTGCTCCTCTTCAGCAAGTATTTGCCAATAACTAATCCCAAATGCATCAAACTGATCAGAGTTGGAGAGCATCTCGCCGCGCAGTGCAGGGAAGGGCTGTGCTCCCCACCAAACCACAGTCAGGGGAAGAGGACTTGGAAGAGAGATTTGTCTCACTGGGCAGCACAGAACGAAAGCTTTCCAAGGGCTTACAGGACCTGTAATGACCTAAACAACGTTTTTATCTGTTCTCATGGGACAACAATTCTGTAGCTTAATGCATCAGCCCTGGAAGAATTTCCTCCTATTCTGCCTCATTTATGAATTGCAGTTGAAGGATGCTGGCTGAATCCTCAATGGGACTGTAAATAATTCCTCTCCCTCCATGATATTTAAACCTCTCTCTGCCGTCCCATATTCTGGGCACTCTTTGTTCCTCTCAACGTTTTTATGCACAGTCCCTTAGCCATCGTTGTCTACCACCCCTGCCATCTCATGGCATGCCTCTCCCCCTCCCACTAACTTCAAAGCTCTGCATTCAGACTGTTCCAGCTGGTAGAGGAGTCCAAAACCATTTAAGTATCCCGCTACCATGTATGCCTCTGATAATCATATGGATGAAGGAGCAGAACGTAAGCGGCCTGCTCAGAGCAACTTCAAAGGCCATTTGGTCACATACTTTCCCCTTCTCTGACTTCAGAGTCTGTCCTTTCCTATTTCATCTGCAACAACGTTTAACTCTTCCCCCAGCCAGTTTTGACCTTTTCTGCTGGGAAAGCCGCTGGCTGAGAGCGTTTTTTTTGCCAGTAAAACTGACTCACTGTTTATACAAACAAACAGGATGTTTTTCATTCCCATCCACAGCTGGGCTCTGCCACTCACGGTCCCGGCTCCTCGTGCTGCTGCCCTGCCCGGGAGGCAGAGGAGAAGGGAAGACAGGGCAGCGGGAATATGCTCGCGCCCAAACCGAGTGGCCTCGGCCTTCACGCAAAAAATCAACACCCTCCAGAAAAAGATTAACGAGCAGAAGGGCTTAAATAAAATGCCACACGGCAGCCTGCCGCTGCAGGAGGCCACGGGGCTTACTGACCGCGATTACGGGGTGAAGCGAACCGATAAAGTGCGGATGCAAAAATTAACCAGAAACGTGTCTGGGCGAGCCTCCAGTTGGGCCCAGCTGCATTTTATTATCGCGGGGCAAATCCTGCCCAAGCTCTTGGCACTTTCTCCCCTCAGGGAGGGGCCTCTTTATGCTCGTCGGAGGAAAACAGCCCGGTTACTCCTGGCTAAGCACATCCCACGGCGTTACGGGGTGCTGCTGCCATCAGCTGTGCTGCAGAAATACAGAGCCGTAGGCACCCCAGAGGGGATCGCCATCCACCCCGACGGCTCACAAGCGGCCACACGCCACG